CACACCCACACCCACACACCCACACCCACCCACACCCCACACCCACACCCATCTTTCTTCTTTTTTCTTCATACATTAATTATAGGTAACGTTCGCTACATGTATGACAAAAGAAAATCGTTGGCTACAAGGTCATATCTTTGACTTTTTACTTATGTTTTCCTTAAGACGAAAGGATGATGATCTATTTGAGAAAGAGAAAATTTCTCTTTCAAAATAACACAGAAATTATTTGAAATATATAAGAATCAAATAATATTTTCTAGATTTGTTTCTTATTGATCAATAATGTTCTGTATAGTCTGTCAAATTCTTGTTTAACTTTATTTTAAAAAGTAAGGATAAGAAAAGTCAATAAAATAAACAAAAGAAATATTGAATAAGTCTATTGATTATTTATAAAATGATAAATTAGTTATTTAATTTATAATTGTCTACGACAAAATGGACATATTAATATCATTGTTAGACATTTATTACATATTGAATGTCTTTTATCATTATGTAATGGTATTAATCCATTTTTATTTTCAAAACAAATAGGACATTCAATAGTTACATTGAGATTATTTTTTAATTGTTGACGATTATGTTCAATTAATTGACGTGCTACTTCAAATTTAACAAATTCAATTGGTTGAATCAAAACTGAATTATCATCATGATTAGATTGTTGATTATTGTTTATTTGATTTGTTTGTCCTTTTTTTAATTTATTTCCTGATGAACGTTGAAAACTATTTGTTAATGAACAATTTAGGTCATATAATAAACGACCTATATATTTTTTTGGTGATGGAAATTGTAACTTGTTTTTTATAGCATTAATATAATCTGTTCCAAATTTATTGACATAATAATTATATAATGGTGATGATTGTTATGACCTGTATCTTCTTCAGATGCAGTCATAAGGGTTTTCCCTCTTTTTTATAAGATTATACATATAAGCTTGTGCTCTGCTTCTTTTCTCTTTTGTTAGTCATACACCAATGACTTTCCATTTCTTTCTTATATGTTGGCACTTTCTCATTCGTTCTTCTTTCTTTCACGTTGTCTTATGGATATTTCCCTCCTTTGTTCATTGTTTGTTATTACTCTATATATAGCGTTACGTTGTTGTGTGAAAGAGACAGAAATATAGATAGACAGATAAAAAGTAGAGTATAGTTGGATAAAGATCTCACAATGATACTTTTATAGCACGAATAATTAACACATGAAATCGTCTTGGACCTAGTTTATGTGCATGATTTCGTTCACTAATATATTGTAATATATTTATATCTTCTTCTTGACCATGTAATGCATGACGTAGAATTAATTTTGCTTCATCAATATGAGAACGTCTCAATATGATATCATTCATTTTTTCTACAATTGATTTATCAATACTAAATGATGATTGTCCAATCATTGTTATTTTTGTTGATGGTGATGATACAGTTAATGTTGCCTATTGATCAATGAAATTAAAAGTAAAGTTTATAATAAAAGAAATATAAATTTTTCTGTTTATATCCTTTTGTAATAAAACAAATAATTGAAATATTAGTGTTTGTTCAACAGAAAAATTCTGGGACGAATATTTATATTATATAGAGTATCTCGTAAGGCATTAGCCAAAGAAAAATTTGAATATCTTAAATATGCTTTGACCAAATGAACTTGTTTTGTTTACTGCTGATAGGAACTATTCCTAATCAATAGTTATCAGAATAATGTTAACAAAAACTCTTGCGAAATATCACTACTGACTCCAATAAAGAAATATTATCTTCTTCGAATTCTGAAAAAAAAATCTCCTTTACAGTATGCTCTAAAAATTACTGCGAGGAATAAATTTGGATAAGTTTAGCATATTCTAGACAAAGTTGACTAGTTCTTTTTTAAAGTAGAGGCATATTCCTGGTTAAATTCGTGTCAGATAAAATAAGATATCTTACAATTTACAACTGACCTAAACATAAATAATATGTCTTGAAAGCTGTAAGAGGACAATTTATTTTGATTGTTTCGAAACCGATACTTTGAAATAGTTTTTGTCAACGTTATTCATGTGAATATATACTAGAAACAGATCTTTATCAGCGGTAATAAAACGATCTCATTTGGTCAAAACATGCTTAAGAGATTCAAATGTTTCTTTGGCTAATGATTTATAGGACATCTTTATCTTAAGTAGTTCAAGAAACAGCAATTTTATCGTTTAAAACCATTTTTGTTGTTCAAAACTATCGTTTATCACATCTAAACGCCAGTTCACAGTAGAAAATAGACGAAAATTAATCTTCGTAAATGGTACGGAAACGTGTATTATGTATACATAATCTCAGATGGATACCAGGAATCGAAGCAGGCAATCGCTTCGAGCAGCATAGCGTAAGATTTTTTTCAATAAAACAGTGCACCACGCAGAGTAGTGTAAAATGTTTTCAGAAAGAGCCGTGTACTCTGCAGCGCAGTGCGAAAAATTCAAATGCTTCATTTTCATAATCTTCGAAGTTTTCAAAACTAAATTCGAAGTTTCTTTCTTCTACTCTTCAATGCTTCTCTTAGGGAAAGATCGTTCCTGATTCTCATAATCTTTTTTTTTATAATTGATAACCGTTTGAGATGAGACTAATACTAGAAAAAAATCACTATAATGAAAAAGGAATGTTCTATTTCAATGTGGTTCTTCTTATGAATTTCATAACAGTTCCGAAATGTGAAAGAGAAGTTCTTCTGCCATATTCAACATATCAATCTATTAAACTTTCTCATATTTTAATATAAATCCCTTCAGAGTTTTGGTGTACGGAGAATCCTATGTTTAGCACCTGAAAATCGTGATACCTATATTTTGAGACAATTTTAATAATGTTGACACATCACATCTTTCTACGCTATAGAATATCGGTTTCTTAATCAAAATGAGAAGGATGTGTTGTACTTCGGTATATAGTGCTATCCGTAGATTCAGAAAATGTCGGGAATATAACGAAAGCATTCTTATTGATTATTTAAGTGAGCCATTCTTTCTCCGCAGACTGAGGTGATGATATAATCAACGTAAACTTCTACTTTTAATTCTGTTTTATCTTGTCTTGTATTATGCATCGTTCTCTCGATTAATATCTTCTAATTCTGCTTTCGTTCTAACATGAGTGGTCTTTCGAAAGAGTTCGTTAAAAAAGGCTCTTGAAAAAGGTGATTATTCTCTTTATCCAAAGTCTGATCCAAGGAGGGCTGAATGGTGATCTATTTTTGATCGAATTCGTAATAAAGAAGGAAAAACATCGGCTTTTGTTCGGTGTCGTCGTTGCTTGTCTCCACTTGCCTATGATACAAAAAAAAAACTGGCACATCATCACTCAGTACTCATGCAAAGACCTGTCGTTCAATACAATCCAATCCAATAGTAATCACAACGCTATGGCGATTTTCAGTCATCCAACGGCTTTGAGTGTGTCTGATGAGACGAAGCGCCTCGTAACTAACCGGTTCTGGGTTCGAACACTTTTATCAAACACTCTTAGACATCGGACGAAAGAGTAAGAATCAAACATATTTCAAGGAACTCGTGTAAGGTCGCGTGGGTTTAAAATCTCTTCGGGTAGAATAGAGCGGATTTTAAGTTTTTCGGGTAGGGCTCGGACAGCTCTCTGTAAGTTCGCCAATCTGGAATTTCGCCAACAGTACATTCGCCATTGGCGAAATTCTCCGCGACACTCGCCAATTGGCGAATCTCTAGTATGAAATTCGCCAATAAACTTTTTGTTTCGCCATAGTATATTCGCCAATTGGTGAACGTCGTGGAGAAATTCGCCAATTTGGCGAATCTCTAGTGTGAAATTCGCCAATTGTAATCCGTAGAATTATGACTCAACTAAATTGATGATAGAATATTTAAGTACTACGGTGTCATATTTGATATGGAGTTTAAAAAACGATGAACAGCATATTATTTTTACTGGTCTTCTTCTGATCATAGCTTTTCTTATATATCAAGATACATTCTTTCATATAAACATTATTTAAACTTCTTTTATTTCACATAAAGAAAAAAATGAACTTCTATACACATATAAATTAAATAAGTTTATGTTCCCATAAGAGTCTTTTCTAAACAACTATATCTTCATTATTGACTGAATGTGCATTTGCACCTGCTCGATCAACACTGTTTGCATTTGTAGGGTGTGGGTATTGGTGGGGTGTGGGTGGGTGCGGGTGTATGTGGGGTGTGAATGTGGGTGTGTAGGTGTGGGTGAGTGAGGATAAGAGTATTCTCTTCAATTTTAGCAACACCAACACTCACTCTCGTACACCCACACCCACCGACCCACACCCACACACCCACATCCTCAAGATATCAAGTACTATAATTGAATTACAGCTCAATTGATTCAAATTGGCGAATCTCTAGTGTGAAATGCGTCAATAAATATTTATTTTGGGCTTAGTATATTCGCCAATTGGCGAATCTCTAGTATGGAATTCGCCAATTTGGTGAATCTCTAGTGTGAAATTCGCCAATTTGTCGAATCTCTAGTATGAAATTCGTCAATAAGCTTTTTGTTTCGCCATAGTGTATTCGACAATTGGCGAAAAGGAAGATTGGCGATGGTATATTTCCCCGGCTCGGGCACTAGAATCTGTACCCGTGTGGGTATCTACTACGCTCTCCAAATCACTGTGTCTTTTAATCCTTTGATGAACGGGTAGGACAAGTATGTTATTTTTTTTTCCTTTTTGAAAATGGAGCTTTTATAAACTGGGAAGAAGAGCTCTGGCAGAAAGATCGATAGCAGTACTGAGATAAAACTAGTTTTCCTGTATTCAAGTTCAAATCACAGTGTCTATCCGTCCTTTTCACAACAAATTTTCATAATTCAAAGTAATCAGCTTCTTTCATAACAATCTTCTACTGGTGAAATCTGTTCTGTTCTCGTTACTGTTGACGTTCAAAATTTCTTCTCTACTCTTGCCGAAACCTGTTTTACCCTCAATATAGACGTGTGAGCTGATTATTTTTTGGTAATCACACATGGTTTTTACTGCACAGTAGTGTGTGAGTGTAGATGTGGATTAAGAAAAGAAAAACATCCACACCCTTACATTTACTTGAATAATAGACTATCACTCTGCATAGGATAATCCTAATTTAGAATTGAATCGAAATTTATTTGATATACTTTAAGACGTATCATCCTTGTATAACATTTCAACTTCTTTACTACAATACAACTAAAGAAAGAATATAACATAATAAAATATTCTATAATGACAGTAGAATCTTATTAAAAATTATAAAAAGTTGCAAAAAATATCTGATTTTGTCTCAAGCATTTGTATATTCTATTGTGCTATTAACACAATAGAATACATACCAATGTACGATGGAATATCTCGTAATATATTACATTTTGTTTCTAGTTAAATGTGATATATTATAACAAAAAAATGTATATTATCTTAGAAAAGTTGAAACGTTATAGAAAGTAAAGAGATTTTAGATTGCACTCAATTTAAATACTATTAGCAGATTAAACATGATTTATCTTATAAGAGTTACATGTAAAACCGATTTGATATCAGTCTTCAGATTTTTTTTTTTAGTGTATATTTTACTTCAGGATACATCTATTATCAAGTATTATATATTACTTGATAAAGAACTGAATATAATACAGTATTAGATGTAAACTTGTGAGAAAATACTCTACTATTACCATACACCTGAATTGATAAATATTGTTTCTAAAATAAAACAATACATTCGATTATTGTTTAAATAATTCTTTATTAGAGAATGATTATCATTTTGTAGTCAAGATTTGGCTATTATGTTTCTATATAAAAATATGCTTAAAAAGCTCAATTTTCATATATCATCTTCAGAAAAGTCTTTAATAAATAAGATTTCTGTTGTTTATAACACTATAAATAATTTCAAATCTTTATTTGTCTATAATAAGAAATTATTCAAAAAATATACATTAACTATTTATTTATTTATTTTACAGTTATAGAAATAGAACAATTTCATTTGTCAAAAATCGATCAGAGCATAAAATCTAAAAATTATTTTCATATAGGGTAATATAATCGAATTTTGACTACAGGACATTGAAATAAATAACTATCTATCTTTCGTTTACCAAACATTAATAGAAAAAAAAATGATTGCAATCATTTTGAATTATAGAAATAAATCAAACAAAAATCTCATTAGTCAAACACTTCTTTTTAAGAATATATCATTTGAAAACTTGTCCATTAAAGTTTTTTTTTGTATCGCGATATACGATCAAATCTTAACTACAAAATGATAGACTTCAGGGCATTATTCTTTTTCTTCAATCAGAAGTTATTCGAAAAACTAATTGAATACATTGTTTTATTTTACAAACAATAATATAACAGATTGTTTAGACATTATACAATAAGGTTTTTTCATTAAAAATTTCAATGTTTTCTCATTACAATTTACTTATTCTATGATATAAAATTAAACTAACTACAAAATTTATGAATGATTGCACTGTCATTATATACAGGGTATTTCAAAAGATTTCGAGAAAAGTAAATTCTTCGTACTCCTTTATTTATCAAAACAAATCAACCAATTTTTTTCTCATATGATAGGCATCATTGGAACGTTTTTATCAATACCAATGAACTTAGTAAATAAGGTTGAAAGATATAACTTTTGCTTAAAATACAAAAAATATGTTTTTTTTTTCAAATTTCACTAGAAAATTTGAATATCTTTATTCTTTGTTTTTTGATCGTTTCACTATTTGCAATATGAAAATTTTCAGTATTGTTTTATAGTTACTTTTTTTAGATATCCTCAGAAAAAAAGAGATGAATTATTAAGATTCGCTAATCTATCACGAAAATAAGTTAATAAAATTGCATTGGAAAATTTTGAAACTCAGAAGATTGCAAAAAATCAACAACACCTAATTTTTCAGTCAAATCTGTAAAACATATTTGTTTTTTATTGCAGGTAAAAGTAATATCTTTCAACCTAATTTGATAAGTTCATTCGTACTGACAAAAACTTCACGATAATACCTATCATATGTAATGAAATTGATGGATTTGTTTTGACAAATAAAAGAATAGGAAGAATTTATTTGACTCGGAGACTTTTGAGACATTCTATATATATATATATCCTTTAATGTGTTTATTTATGCAAATACGTATTTTCTTCCATATAATACGTATATTCTTATAAATCTATTTATAGCTGTTTAACATATCTAATTCTTTTTTTCCTGTCTTACATACCTCTTGATTATTGGCATTAGTAGTTGTTGTTATGATAGTATTTTCATCATGTTGTTCTGATATTGATTTATCTTCAATTGTAGATTGTTGTACATTTTCTTCTTGTATTTCACTATTACCTATCAACATATATATTTTTTTGTTTTATATTATCATCTTTTGTTATGTTATTCAATATTTTAGATAATTACCTTGTTGTTGCTGTTCTTGTATGATATTATCTTCTGATCGATTTTGTTCTTGAATAGTAGTCGTTATTATATTTAATTCATTTTGTAATTTTTCAATTCTTTCTATATTATTTATTAATACTTGATCTAAATTAGGTGTATTATTATTGTTATTTGTAGATAATATACTTGTTGTTAATATAGTAAATTTTTTATCATCTAAATCAGCTGTTGTTAAAATATATTCAGCTAATATAGAATCATTTAAATATTTTTCACATTCAGAATTTATTTCAAAACAAAATGGTAATAAACCATTCATTTGTAAATTTTGATCTTTTATTAGTTTTAATATTTGTTGAAACTGATTTAATGAATATTCTCTATCTAATATTAATTGTCTCATTACTTGAATCATAAATGACCAATAACGTAATGTTGATTGTACACGATCACCAGCATTTTCATGTAAATATTGAACTAATTCATCTTTATTAACATAATTATTAACATTTAATTTAGGTACAAATTTCATTGAACGTTCTAATATCATACGTAGAAAATGATCACATATACCATCTAATGTTACACCATCACAATAATCAGTTTGAGTTAACAAACCTATATGCAAAATAAACATGAATTTCATATTTGGAAAATACAAATATCTATGTATAGTGGGAAACAACGTGGACATTAGATGACAAAAAAAAAATCAAAGTGAGATTTATCAAGATTTAGGAAGTTTCAAATGTACCTTGTTGAAGTGCTATCGAATGGTGTAAAGTATTTTATTCTACAATTTTTTCTTCTGAAGACAACCGAAAAAGAAAGCAACGAAAAAATATGAAATATTAGCAAGCATTCGTGCATACTGCACGACTGTTTTTTTCTTCTAACGCATGTCCTCAAACCTTTCATTATTCATTTAGTAACACAGATGCACACGCTGAATATAATGTACAGAAAAGCCGTACGGCATCATAGTATTACCCTTCCATAACTTTAGCCCTCTATAGCCTTATTCCTTCATCCTTTTATTCTTTATAGCCCTAAGCTTCTACAGTCTTATCCCGTTATAATCTTATCTCCTTTATAGCCCATCCCTATATAGACTTATTGATCTATAGTCGTACCTCTTTTTAGCCTTATCTTCTTTATTGCCCCTTGCTCTATATCCCTACCACACTGTAGTCTTTTTTTTTGTAGCTTTACCCTGTTATAGCCTTATCCTTCTATAGCTTTCCCAGAGAAAAATATTTGTAAAAAATAACGGCAGAGAATGCGTTTCAAAAAATTGAAAGCTCTTTTTTTAAGAAAAGAAACCATTCCGAAAAAAAATGAAAAGCATTCTGAAATGGAACGGTCTAGAACGCATTCTATAACCTTTGGAACGTATTCTTAGTCGTTCCAAAAATGGAACAATCAAAAAAGCATTTCAACACTTTTGAAATGCTTTCTCTTCTTGAGAGAAGGTAACTTTCTTGATTATACGACTAATCATTTATAGATAAATCTTTAATTTGTCAAAAGAGCATTTCTAGAGTAACTCGACGAGCTCGATGAATGACGTGCTCCAAATCACTGTAACTCAAACCGTTATTAAAATTATGCTTTTTCTACATCAGAAGTAGCAGCCCAAAGAATAATTAGCTAAAGGTTCCACAGTTTCTCACATCAATTTCAATCTGCTTTGCTTCAGATCTTTGATTTTTCAATCGAAATATGCTTTAATTCCAAAAGAAAGTATTCATTGCTTAGAAGAATTCATTCCTTCAATGCTTCTCTAGAAAACGTAAAAGAAAGCGATCTTATTTCGATAGAATGCTATCTGTGCCGTTCCAAAAGAGAATGAACTAGGATGGATTCTATTGATTTAACAAAGCTTCGGAACGTTTTCCCTTCAAATAGAGAACAATTTGTCAATAGAAAAGAAAGCATTCGGTTTTAATTGTGGAACGACAAAGAACGAGTTTCTTCAGACTAAGAGTGTTTCTTCTTGAACATGAATGCATTCACTAGCAAAAGAAACGCATTCTTTGCATAGCAAAAAAGGTCTCCTTATTTTTATGAAACCATTCTGTTCCATTTTTTTTCCAAAAAAAAATTTTTCACTGGGTTATCCTCTCCCTTACAGTCCACGCCTCTATAGTCTTACCCCTTGTAGCGTTACCCACCTATACTCTTATTCGACCCTTACCCTTTAACTTAGTACAGACAGACACTGAACATTATATATATATAAGATTCTCTTACTACCTGCAGGATCTATAAGTACTCCCATGTAATACCCCTTGAGAACCTAAGAGTATCCAATAGGATAGCCAATGAGGACTTATGAGTACATCCATTGTATAGTTCTCGAGAACCTTTGGGGGCCTCAATATAGTAACCATTGACGCCTTCCCTTATAGCCCTATTTGATCTTTAACCTTTCACCTGGCACAGAGAAACACACAAACACACACTGAACATTACATATATATAGATCCTGAAAAACGGTTGTGCTCAGGAGGGTAGTACTCAAAGTTATTATTCCCTTTGGAGTCGGGACTATATGCATCATGTAATCCCTATTGAACTATAAATATCTCGAAAAAAGTTTGAGCCATTAGCTTATTGTTGACAAGACACTGCATTTTGATGGTATTTATTAAAAGAACGTCGTGATCTCATAAGGAATGCTTATTTTCGAATTTCGACTTGAAATTTTGCAAAGATATAAGTCTTAATGAGAATAGTTTATAGTGAAAGTTTCAAATCATTTTTGTTGTTCCTATCCTGAAATACGACTATGGTAAAAGTATGTCTTTTACATCGCTCGTATTTCAGAATTTGAACAACAAAAATGATCTGAAACTTTCACTATAAACTATTCTCATTAAGATTTGTATCTTTGCAAACTTTCAAGTCGAAATTCGAAAATAAATTTTCCTGATGAGATCACACCATTCTGTTATGGAATCCCATTAAAATATAGTATTTTGTATGACTTCAAAGCGGTTCATTACTTTAGGTACCTTCCTCGTTAGTATAATGAGGTTTCTAAATTTTCCTAAAGTTTAAATGCGATCAAACTTTGCCAAAATATTCTTCTATCTATAGTGCATGTGTACGGCAAGCATAAATTAGCACAAACACATCGAAGATTGAGCTAATTTAAATATCATCCTATCGATATTACTCAAGGCGAGTAATTATTTTGATCAATTTAATCAGTAGTCTTGCGCTTTTTCGTGCTTGCGAACACGGTTTTTAGTCAGTCGAAGTATTTAATATACAACATAAAATCGATGTGTTCTATTGAAACACTTTGCAAAAAAAGTTTATAAAAGATATTATGAGCTATATTTTGAAAAGAAAATTAATATTAGATAATTTTCTTAGGCAGAGATACAAAATCAATGCAGAACTTTTGCTTGATCTATTATGGCTCTTGTTTGTTAGGAAATTAACAATCTTTCGAATTTATAAAATTGATAAATTATCTAGAAAATAAATAATCACTTAAATAAAAATCTGACTTTAGTCCGTACACGTTAGAATAATACATCTGGTGAATAAATGAAAAAATTCCTGTCACTAATATCAGTCAATGCTGATGATGAATGTTAGTTAATCATGCTATCAAAAGGTTTCTTTGGTTTTAATCATTAAATATTGTGATTGTTTGTTGTTTATTATTATTTTTTCTCTTACCTAAGAGTATAATATCCATTTTCATTAAACTTGATTTATGAACATCTTCTGGATATAAAATCATTAAATTATATAATAAATAATAATAATCTGATGGATGCAATTTTGATATATATTGTTTATATTGATTTGCATCATCCAAAGATTTATCACGATTTCGAATTAATGTATGTAATTCTTCAATATGTTTATCTAATTCTTGTTCTTTTGCAATTTTTTCATTTTTCATTTTTGTTATCATTACATAACGTATCGTACGTAATAATATCCATATATATTTTGATAATTTATCATTATTATTTATATCTTTTTCTGAATAATAGACTGATAATGATGTTGATAATGTTTGAAAATAAACATCTAATATATCAATATCATAGATTGCTTTCATTTCATAGTATTGTTGATCACGAATTAATATTTTTTCATCACGTCTAACTAACGGATAACGACATTTTGATACTGGAGGAGGAAAAAAATCCGCAAATGTTTCTCTCCATTCTTCATTTTGTACAACTAATATTGGTAAAAAAAATTGTGTATCTAATATATATTCATCTAATGCAGCTATTCTAATAGGAACTAATGATGGTACTGTATCAGTTTCAATTGATATAAGTTGATTATACTTTGATGATGATGGTGGTTCAACAACAAAACATAAATAACAATTTAATTCTGTTTCATTTTTATCTGTTTTACATAAATCTAACATTTTTTTATCAATTAAATTTAATTTTTTTAATAGCAATTTTCTTTTATCTTGATTAGAACGTGGATTACGTATTATGACATTTTCATTTGATACTTTTGTTGCTGCACTACGACGAACATTATGATATGTAGCCATTTGTTAAAATCTATGGTTATTCATAAAATAAAAAAAATATATATATATACATAATCCAACATAAAAGGCAATCGTTTAATTTAAATTTCGTGTCAAATATTATGAATAAACGTTGTATGAAAACAAAAACAAACTTATATCATCTTGTACATTTTACTGTCTTCTTCCCATTTGCCAAAATCTCTTTTTACATAAGCGGACACTCTTTTCCGACCCAAAACTTGGCAATGTTTCACTTTTGATTTTTGTGTTGTATATACTCTTCAATTTGGTCTATATCTATTGGACGTATTTCAAGACTTAATATATAGGTATAATATGCTGAAAAACCCTAAAAATATGTATAATTTTCTCTAAGAAACGTTAAAATTTTAATTTTATTTTGCTTTTTTTTTCTGAAAATCAAGTTTTCGAGGAAAAAAGTTGAGAATCACCCCATTTCTCCGCCATAGTACATCCGATTGAGCTAGAACTTTTTTCTATTAATAGTAGAATGTGTTTAGGATACCTACTTTTTTGTTTTGTTTCAAAAAATAATATACTATTGGTGTTTGGCAGAGTCTACAAAAATAGTACTATTCCTAAAACTAAAACATGACTTTTTGAGGGTGTTCTCAGAATTTCGGTGTTTCTTATTCGAATAGAAAGAGATAAGAGGAAAACGAAAAAATAGGCATCCCAAACAGTGTCTACTATCTGTAAAAATATTTTCAGCCCTATCGGATATATTATGAGTTAGAAACGAGTGCAATAAAAGAGATCATTTTTAGTCCTTGTGACTCCGATATCTTCTACAGGGAAGCATTTGGAAATTTACAGTCTGTGGCAACTTTTGCTCTACTCACCGATATCTATCAACCCTAAAAGTTTCAAAACTTTCTGATGAGCTATTGTTGCAAAGTACTGGAAAGAGGAGGATCTCCTTAAAGTAGAACTCTTCGTTCTATGTGAAAATGGCATATTTTGGGCTTTTGTGCGACATTTTATTTTCAAAGAACTAGGCTATTTTTTCTTGTTCAGACGGAACATCAGTTAAAATTCTGATTTTTAGAATTAACAGGTGGTTCTTAGTTTGTCTCGAGTATATTGACCTTTTTCTTTCTTTTAGTATATGAATAATAGAACTAAACATATAAGATCTAGCTGTACATCTTACACAATTGTTTCTACTCTATCGAATACATAAGAGATTATTTTCGGTTCATATGCTTTATTTTATGAAAATACTGAAAAACAATGCACAAGTTTTCAAAAATTATTATATATTTTTTGATATTTATCTGAAGACTTACTTTTGCTAGGTTTGTTTAGTTATTAGTGGGAGAAAATGTAAATGTGCAATGTTGTACAGCAAAACTTACTCTCTCTTTTGAGATATTATTCACTTCAATTGACTTTTATTGAAAAAAAAAAGTAATCAAATCCTGGAAATAAAAATATTCAAGAGTCACTTAGAATTAGATAAATTTTACAATTTATATTTAGTTACGTGTACAGTCCATGCAAAAACATTGTGCGAAACCAAAGAATTTTTTTCCAAAATTTCATGTTACATTCGAATCAAACGTTATATAATTAGTTAATATAGTTACTAATTAAAGTTTTATATTAGACTATACAGACGTACCACATCTTGTTTTAATTTGAAGAAATGAAAAGAGCAAAAAGTTGTGGGACACATTAAAAATATGAGAAAAAATATAAAAAAATTATAAGTATAGATAATGCAATGACCTATACTTCTACTATTGATTGCATCATACATTGATATAAGTATTATATAAAAATACGATATTGTTAAAATTCATTGTTTGACTAGTGTATATATAGAATAAACTAGCCATCATGTGCAGAAATATCCACGAGGAAAATAGAGCAAAGTTTATTGGGTAAGACAGGAAATAGAAAACATTCAAAAAGAAAAAAAAATGTACCGAAAACGAAAGAAATGTTAGAAATAACAGAAGACTGGACAGAAAAACTAATGACTAGAAAAAACACAACATGCTCATGGACATACAATAACCATTTACAGGGATATTTGATTTCAGAACTGTTTACCACTGACCAAACATATACATTTAATAATTTTCTCACTAGTATCAAACATAAACCATTCATAAACTGACATTATTCATAAAGAAATTTCAACTATCCCAGAACTTTTTGTCTCGGAAGATTTTTTTGTTTTTTTTTCATTTCTTCATATTAGAACAAGGAGGTTTGCATCTATATAGGATAATGTAAAACCTTAATTAATAACTATACTAACTATTTATATAAAGTTTAGTTCGAATGTAATATAAAATTTTCGGAAATAACTCTTTGATGTCCCAGAATATTTTGCATGGTCTGTATATATGAAACGAAAGTCTAGATTGACACTAAAATTTTGATACTATCGTGAGACTTGGTCAAATATTATCTGGATGACTTTTGAATGCAGGAAGATAAAATGTCACAACTTTTAATTAAGTGAGTTTTTTTACTTAGACTTTTATTTTCACTAAAAAATTTAGGTTCCATAGTATGAGCATTCTTATAGATGCTCGATCCTCTTATAGACTATCTTCTGTAATGATTAGAATCTAATTGATAAAAATACTGCAAATACCTTAATGATTGTGTTTGATTTTTCGCTCTTGTATGATAGAAATAAAACTTGATTTCACAAAGAGAAGAATTGACTTGTGTAAGTATTATTCACACATATATATATATATGTGCGCATTGCACAACATATGACAAATATTTTTTTAGAGAAAAAAAGAAACCCCGAACATGACGTGTTTTTTATTTGACTTATCTGGCATCAACGACTAAAATGCGTCATTTTGTCAATGGTGATATCAACAAAAAAAAAACAAAATCGAAGAATAAAAATAAAATGTACGTGAGTTTTTTATTTTAGAGTTAATATTTTGTCATATGTTCTCTGCAATTCAAATAAAAATAAATGCAGAAATCTCGGATTCATATCCGAGAGTATGTGTACTTGAAAAAGTGAATGACACAAATTGATCATCTTAGAATGTCTGGATATAAAAATTTGCCTGGCAAACCTTTTCTATAAACTCTTGAATTCCATTGGCTACTGCTTAATCGGTAGGACTTAGGAGCGTATACAGCTCAAATTTCACCTGTTCGGCTTTACTTAGCCTTTGAAAGTCGTTTTTTTCTATAACATGATTTCTATTGGTCAACGCTCAAACCATGGGGCTTTGAGACAAGTTTAGTGCAGATTCTAGTTCTCCGCACCAGAAAACCTTCAATTATCATCTCTATGGTCGAAAAATAGAGCTCTAATTTGGGATCAATTAGAGCGTGCACAAAAACAGAACCGATTCTTACCTATTTACCTTTGCAATGAGTGAAATAGTCTTCTTGTTTCCTTATGTTTTATATATCATTTTGTAGCTCTTGAAATTCTCTATAATAATATAATAATAATAACGTCCCCATAGGGTTATCGCCCGTTGGGGTCGGTCGCGGTTTTTATTATTAATCTCCACATGCAGCCGGGTTCTTTCGTCTTTTCTTTTTTTACAGACGGCGATATTTGCACCCCCTCTTCCGTCCAACATACTGACTAAAGATGTAGTCAGTACGGATGACTCTTTTGGAATGAGTCATTTGAGACAACTTAGCCGTTAGTGACTTATCCAGGGTCATTCCATAGGCGATGATATTGAGGTTTGAACACAGTACATTGTGAGTGCGTGTCGAACAACGTAACCACTCAACCATGGCGGCCTTTGAAATTCTCTATCGAATGGTATACAATAGTTGGGGTTTCATTTGACTATGATAGGAAAAGTCTTACGAAACTTCGAACTCGACCGAGATATTGTTAAGACTAAACTGTGTAGAAAATTTCATCGTGATCGGACTCTCCTTTCGAAAGTTATCGTGTAAACGGCCGGACGGACACACTCACCTATTTTAGCGTGTACTCACTTTTTGAGTACACAAAAAAAGCCTTAAATCCATATGACATGGCTTTGAATGATTTACCTTGTGATTGCCGACGATTATATATTTTTCTGGTTACTCTTTCAAAAATATTTTTATGTTGATAGATTATATTTTATATTACTTGATGAATGTTGACCAAGAGACGAAGTGATAATTAAACATGAACGATCAGCATAAGTGTTTTTTTAATGAATGAGTGTGTACCTGGCAAAACAACGGGTACGATACCCTAACAAAAAAATATTCACATACTGTTTTACATGCTACTGAAAAAAAGTAGCGTGTATACTGTACACACGAAGTTTTAATTTTACATTTTGATTTTTCTACAATTTCCGTGCTTCTACTGTATGTACTAAAAAAAATTTATATATTGAATGATATGAAAATTTTATATATAGACTCGATTTAATTTCAAATAAGACAATAATTATCATATTATAATAATTTTTATTGAAACGTTCTGTTTTTTCTTAACAATATCATTAGTTAAAAAAATTAATAGATAAAAAATCGAATAAAAAATCCAAAATCAAATTTGCAGGAGTACGGTTGTGTTCGAGTAATTTTCATTTTAAATTAAAATTTTTTTTTTTTTTTGTTTTATTAATTTGCTTAGCTGATAGTGTTGTGAATGAACGGCGGAACATGTCAGTATAAATGACCAAAATGTCTCAAATTGATGTAAACTTCGTTTACCTTCATTTTTAAATGTTTGGCATAAAAATTTATTTAATGGTTGAAAACTCGTATTCGAGCTCTATCTATTTATGTTTCATCTAGTGTTGCTTTCTTTGATTTATTTTCCAAATATTTATGTAACTACAAGTATGGATAAATAGAGTTTCATAAAAATATTAGTTGATATTCTTCATTCAGTCCAAGTCCTTTTTGTGATATATGAAAACGTATTGCGGTCAGTTTTCAATCACTTTGTCTTCATTAAAATGAAAAAATGAAATAAAAGTTTTTAAACTAAAAATATCTTTTATGAATAGAAAGAAGTTTCGCATTTATTATACATTTTGAACACTTTCCTACAGAAAACCAAGCGTACAGATACATGATGTTCTAAAACACACAGTGTACGCATACATTCCATTCCAGATTCTCATCAAAAAGCATTGATCAGTGTTAGAAGTCGTCCTATAAAATAATTCATTCGTAGATAAATCATTTAATTCAATCATAAGAATTGAGAAAAAAATTCAAATGCTAATTCTAAATATGAAATAGACTTTTGTCCAGGTATTAACTTAATATAAATTAATAGTGAAATCTAAGTAGGAAAGACGATAAAATAAATGTGGAAACCTCGGATTTAAATCCGAGAGTTATGTGTACTTCAAAAAGTGAATGAGACAAATCGGTCATCCATAAAATGTGCGGATATAAAAATTAGTCTGGCAAATCCTTTCTATAAACATTTGAATTCTATTGGCTACTACTCAACCAATAGGATTTCGGAGTGAACACAGGTCAGATTTGGACTCTTCGCCTTGAGTTATCCTAAAAAAGTCGTTTTTCCTATAACTTGATTTCTATTGGTCACTGCTCAACCAATAGGATTTCGAGGCGAATGGAACATAGATTCGAGTTCTCCATTCTAGAAAACCTCGAACTATCATCTCTGTGATGGGAACATAGAGCTCGAATTGTGGATCACAGAGCGTGGACAAAAACAGAACCGAATTCCGATTAATTATCTTTGCAATAGGCGAGTTAGCTTTCTTGTTTCTTTATGTTTTATATACCATTTTGTAGCTCGTGAAATTCTCTATCGAATGGTATATAATAGTTGGGGGTTTATATGACTATGATAGGAAAAGTTTTTTATGAAAGCAGAGAAGAGTCTATCTTCTCATAGGGAAAAATGACTATTTTTGCAATAACTCAGCAATGGCTCGGTCAATCATTCTCATCTTCGAACTCGACCGAGATATTGTAAAGACTAAACTGTGTAGAAAATTTCATCGCGATCGGACTCTCCTTTCAAAAGTTATCGTGTTAACGGCCGGCCGGACGGACACACTGACCGATTCTAGAGTGTACTCACTTTTTGAGTACACAAAAAAGAAAGAAAAACATAGTAGACAAGTTTGTACATGATAGGATCGGTGTGGGGTGTGAATATTCTTTTTTCAGTGACTCTCCACAACCAAACCGACACCCACATCCACATTTTGATATAAATCATCTTGATGTGAACGTGATGATGATGTCCGCTTTCAAGTTCGTTTGGCAAAGAAAGTTGTCTAAATACTTGAGTGTAACCAATTTTTAAAATATTACGATTTCTATTTTCATACGTCAGCAGAATGACATGTATCAACATATAATCTTTTAACTTTTAGTAGTTGATAGAAAAGTAAGTGAAATCTTTTGTAATTGTACTTAAATAAGAGCTTTTTATTGTCTCAATATTGACTTTCGAATACATTCAATTTATTACGTACAACAAGATTATGACTTTTATCTCTCACACTTAAGCAACGTAATCTTAAACCATAGTCAAATACACAGCCAATGCTCGGACAGAATATGAAAAAAAAGAACGTATAACAAGCGCATGATATTAATAACGCCATTGTAGTGCGTAACCAAAATATGTTCGAAACAGTCAGTGAGTGAAGGAGAATAAAGCAATACATCATCGAATTTGTTAAGAATGTTTCGTCTTGTTTTGAGAGTCGCTCTTAGGTAAGTGAACTTAAAGAAAGATTTTGAAAGCAACGCAACTTTAAATATTATCTACTGAGAATCTAACATTTGTATGATTATTAAAACTGACAGAGCCAAGACAAGATATTAGCACAGCCATGATTATTATTGATACTCAAGATTCACAATGATTATTAACAAACCAGTTGAAAATACTCTTTTTGTTAGAAATCAGTATGTCTCAATGAATCTTATGCTAATGTAGAATGTTATTTCATTCTATTCATTTATATATTGTGAACTAATTATTTGTCAATGAATAAGAATCCTCGAGAAAGTCAAAAAGGTCCATTTTGTTGCAAGTAATAAACAATCAATAGATTGGTTTGACAGTACTATGAACAATTTTAAATTGAACAAGAATGCACATGAGAAATATTTCAAAAAGTATAGAGAAAATGTGAGTATTCATCAACGCTTCTCATAAATATATTTAAACAGATAGAAACAAAATGTATGTTTTAGCTATTTACTGTAATTGAAAATAGAAATGAACAAGGATGGGCGAGCTGTATCAATACATGTTCTTTTTTTTAGATATATTACTTGAGCTATGAAAAATGTCTAAGAAATCTCGTTTTTCTGACATTAACAATGAACCTATCGATCATCTTTTAACACCCATAAGTGGCTCTCTCGATAAACTATTGGTTCCACTTTTGGAAGCTGTGAAGCCTCTCTCGGAGTTTTTTAACGAATTGGAAAATTATGTTTTTGTTGCATTACATAATTGCCAAAGTCCAGTTGATGGACTAACTCAACAAGAATCAGCCGCAATTCATTTGTACACTATGCAATTCGATGATGGGAAGAGTTTATATGAATTACTTAATCAAGCATTACGTACCGAGAATCGTGGAGAGTTAAAAACGTGGTTTTCGTATCTTAAATTATTTCTTACTGCCCTGCATAAGTTACCATCACAAAGTGGAACAGTATGGCGTGGTATTCGAGATGTGGATTTAAGTTCAAAATATAAAACTGGTACAAAATTCGCTTGATGGGGAGTATGTTCTTGTACAACTCAACTTGAAGTGCTCGAATCAGCACAATTTTTGGGTAAAACAGGAGAGCGTACACTATTTTCAATTGACTATATAAATGGAAAATCAGTAGCAGCACACTCCTATTTCAAAAATACCGAAAAAGAAATCATTCTTATGCCGGGTTCGTATTTCGAAGTCATAGGCAAATTAAATCCTGCTCCTCAACTCCATATTATTCAGTTAAAAGAAATCACACCGCCTATTCCACTTGTAAAACCACCATTTCAAAAGTCATCACCAGTATTTAAACCAACACCAAAAATCAAAGGCATCAGGTACGAATCACTTTTTTTTATATTTCATTTAAGTTTCTTTTTCATTCAGTTCATCATTTTATTAATGACATCATACTAACTAACTCTAAGCTAGATAATACTCGAAAAAAACATATAGGCAAGAGGTTAAATTAAAAATTGAATATCTCAATAATGATAGTAGCTAGAGAGATGAGGTTGGTGGCAAAAGATTCAGTAGATTATGTAGTTTTGAAATATGTAAATAAATTTGCCAAAATCGACTGAGTAGCTTACATGTAATGGCTCTTAAAAGCAGATTCAATTCTTGATTATTTAGTTCGACAAGAAGATGAAATGCAACACTACGGCATAGAGAGCCAAGGAAAAAGCATTATTAAAAAACGTTTAATAATTGGAAACACGCATCAGTTATTATCTAATGACAATCCTGATAGTACATGACATGAATGGATATTGTTTATTAAATTTGAAAATGATCATCAAAATACGATTGGAGAATTTATAAAGCAGATCACAATCAATTTGCATCCTACATTTAAACCATCACAAATTAAACTTGATAAACCGCCATTCCGATTAAGAAGAACTGGATGGTAAGATGAAAGACAAAATGAATAATGCTTGAGTATTTCGAAAAACATTTATCCTTTTGTTTCAGGGGTGTTTTTGAGATTACTCTTTCTATTAAATTCCATTCTAAATGGAATAAATCAAATTTAGTTACAAGTTGGCTTCTATCGTTCAATAATGCAGAAAGTCAAAAAACCATAGACATCGAATTTAAAAACACTGACTAATGATATCATTTGTCGAGGGATACGCGAATATAATTATATTTTTTGATGCCTTGTAGGGTGTGGGTGTGGGCGTGGGGTGTGTTAATATTAGTTAGAAATGATTCGAAAATCAAATCAATATTTTTTAGAAGTTGGCAAGACCGGTTTCGACTATTACTCACATAGTCAATTATCAATTGCCTAATATAAGATAGTAAAATATAAAATTTTTTTCTCCTACTACATCAACTTAAAGTCAGGAGTATAAGATCAACTCCTAATCTTAATAGAAGATATAATAATAAATTATTAGAAAATTAAAATATATAAATAACTTCTAATAAA